GACCATCACATTATGACGCTCCCACGGCTGAAGGGGCGAGCATGTTTGGTGTGACGGGGATTCGAACCCACGACCCACGGATTGAGAGTCGAGCGCCCTAACCACCTGGCCATGCCGGCCATTTGGTATAACTAATTACATGTTTAGATGCAACTTATGCGGGATTATAATCATTTTAAATAACGGTTTAAATGCTCATTGGTAAAATTTGGGTTTTGATAAAAAGTCCACAAGAAATTCGTATTTCGTAAAACGTTACTTTTTTTTTTATATACTCGTGACAGTTGCTTAGCCGTTGGAGGGAAAAAAACGTTCCCCAACTGGGGTGTTCGGGAATATTAATATCTCCGCTGTATCCCGCTCTTGTTTGATTATGTTTAGCTGGAAATAATTCTTGGTTTAAGATTTATTCTTAAAGGAGTTTCTGATTGGTATGTCCCACGGTGAGACAGCAGTGAGTCTACAACGTCTAAAATCCGAGGTTCGATTCCCCGCGGTGGACACAGCAGATAGCCACTTGTGACTTTATTTTTGCTCTATAACACATACACACAGTGATTGGTAGTGCACTGGTCTAGATTAAAGAAGAAGAAAAAAGAGTTTAGAAATGGCAAAGTGAAGGCTTCGGTTGTTGTCCCGGCAATCGACAATTTTCGACGAACGGAGGGCAACGGCCCATGGACAGAGTCACAGGTTGGCGGGGATCTATAAATCCTATGCCACGGCTGGAATGTGAAAATCCAATGTCTAAAAATTTGGAGTGGAGGAAAACGGGAGTACCCCGAGAAAACCCACTTTTGCATGACAGGCGCCGTATAACCTACTTGTCCTGTGCCCGGACTGAAAAATAACATATGACAGTAAATAAAAACTAGAGTACAGGAAGTGACGTGTGGCCCGGCCTGAAAAATAACATATGACAGTAAATAAAAACTAGAGTACAGGAAGTGACGTGTGGCCCGGACTGAAAAATAACATATGACAGTAAATAAAAACTAGAGTACAGGAAGTGACGTGTGGCTGCATGCTCTCTTTGTTTTCCTACAGTAAAGTCGCTAGGTACTTAATAGATTCAGGGTTAGGGTCCATAAGCGCGGGAATTTCGGGGATTCAGGTATGATATCGATGCTATTTCCTACTTTGATTTTTCACGATATCAACTGGGGATTCTGGGCATTGTCAAATAGAATGGGGGTACAGGCCCCGTGTGACAGTGCCTAGCGAAGAGCAGAAGATAATGTGTCCCTGGTTTCTGCTTTAAGGATAATGATATTTTTGCCAACATTTTATAAATGTGTAAGTAAGTAGCAGGAGTAAAAGTGGGCTATCTTAGGTACTTTATTTTGTGGTACTTGTAGTTTTTGAGGGTGTTGTCAGACAGGTAATTTGACACCCATATTCAATAAGTGGCAACCTTTGTGTTTACCAGCAATAAATAAGTTTTATATATTTTAAAGATGGTGTTGGCTTGGCAACCTTTGTGTTTACCAACGATAAATAAGTTTTATATATTTTAAAGATGGTGTTGGCTTGGCAACCTTTGTGTTTACCAACGATAAATAAGTTTTATACTATTTTAAATATGGTGTTGGCTTGGCAACCTTTGTGTTTACCAGCGATAAATAAGTTTTATATATTTCAAATATGGTGTTGGCTTGGCAACCTTTGTGTTTACCAGCGATAATTCTTAAATAATGAAAATGTTTAGTAATGGAAGGAGTCATAGTCTATGTACGCTCTACTCAAGCGAAGCTTCTGTCAAATGTAACACCAAAAAATGTGGACATAATACATAGATTAATTGTAACTCCAATCATCATTTCATTTTAGTGGCCCGGCATGGCCAGGTGGTTTGGACGCTCGACTCGCGGGTTCGAATCCCAGTCTCACTAAACATGCTCGCCCTTTCAGCCGTGGGTGCGTTATTATGTGATGGTCGATCCCACTATTCGTTGGTAAAAGAGTAACCCAAGAGTAGGCGGTAGGTTGTAATGACCAGCTGCCTTCCCTCTAGTCTTACAATGCTAAATTATGGACGGCTAGCGCAGATAGCCCTCTTGTAGCTTTGGCGAAATTCAAAACAAACATTTCATTTTGGTAGGAAAATAGATATCTTAGACTTATTCCACTAGATGGCATTATAAATCACATGAATTTAAATAATGTAACACAACATATCATAGACATGGAGAGATTGGGGGCGACAGATGCTAATACATTCAAAGAAGCCGAAGTTAATACAACAAGTGAAGAAAGTATCAAAATGGCCACAGAGATGACTAATGAGAGAACTTGAAAACAAGAAACTCCAAGAAGAAAGTCCTGAGATCCCGGAAGCTAATACACGTAATGAATTTGAATCACAACTCAAACCAACAGACACACAAACAGATAGATTCACAACAGTAAAAACCAGAAAACGTACACCATCAACTAACAAGGACAAGATAACCACACCACAATCATAATAAAAGGCGTAGCAGGCAGTTACAGAGAACTTGAACGAGGAAACAAGATGTAAATCCAACGTTCATATAGTGAATATCAAAACATCTTGGTAAAGGTGCAGCTCCTTAAAGAGTGGTCAGATGATGTTTTTAAACCGGGAAACAAACCGAAAAACGTTGCATTTGTAATAAGATGCATACACTACACTATAACAATACAACAAATACAAGATGAACTGGAAGAAAAAGTATATCATTCACTAAAGAACACACAAACAAACATTGTAAAAGTTTACGCAAACAAAACCCAGGACATACAGAGTACGACATCATCTGGTGTCAGAGGTGTCGGGCTCGGCATGGCCAGGTGGTTAGGGCGCTGGACTCACAGTCTGCGGGTCGCAGGTTCGAATCCCCGTTCCAACAAAAATGCTCTCCCTTTCAGCCGTGGGGGAGTTATTATGTGACGGTCAATCCCACTATCCGTTGGCAAGAGTTGGCGGTGGGTTGTGATGACTAGCTACCTTTCCTCTAGTCTTACACTGCTAAATTAGAGACGGCTAGCACAGATAGCCCTTGTATAGCTTTGCACGAACTTACAAACAAACCAAACGGAGATTTCGGGTTGACGTAGTAGGGTTCGCAGTAGTCGTAACATAGTGTTATAACAGTCAAAGTTACGAACACGTGGCGGTTGCTTGGAAATATCTCCCACGATGCGTGGGCTGTGGTGGAGACCATCACATTAAATAATGTAAGAAAGAAAATTAAACACAGGCATGCTTTAATTATCAACGGAAACACACGGAAAAACTATAAAGGTTGCCCTAAATACAAGAGCATCAAATAAAGATTTACAGTATTCAACCCGCACAAACACACAGGAAACAAGTCAGACACAAAAAAGAACATTAATAACCACACTGAATACTCAAGGATACAAACAAAAAACAAACACAGAACAACAACTAAATGCAAATGTTTGTTTGTTTCTGAATTCTGGGCTACTCTTTTAACAACGAATAGTGGGATTGACCGTCACATTATAACGCCCCCAAAGCTGAAAGGGCGAGCATGTTTGGTGTAACGGGGATTCGAACCCGCGACCCTCAGATTGCGAGTCAAGTGCCCTAACCATCTGGCCATGCCGAGCAGGGGTGGTAGATTAAATGAATCAAAACACAAAACACTAAACAAAACTAATTTATTAAATATAATATCATACTTTCGATACCCATGGTGGGCAGAGCACAGATAGCCCATTGTGTAGCTTTGTGCTTAACTTCAAACAAACAACTAAAAATACAAATTTTATCACTTACAAAATAAACCAATAACAAAAAAATAAATAAACTAGTAGCCTGGCCATGACTAGGTGAAAATGTTAAAAAACAATACAACGTAAATTTCTTTCATTAATTTCAATAAATAACAAAGGAATAAGGGAAACAGACCAGAAAAAGAAAAACTTAATATCAAGAACAATAATTAACAATAATTGTTTATTTTATATACGCTATAAAGAGGGCGTAGTTATTCCTCTTATATTTTACGGTTTCGTCGTATGTGATGAAAGTTAGGCTTAGAAAATAATAGAAATTTGTTGTAAGGTTTTTAAAAGTTTGAAAATCAATTATAGACGTTGAATAAAGTGTTAATATTATACAGATAAAATAACATTTATGAGTTGTGAAATCTATAGTATTAGCCTTAATATCAGTTAGGCCTAATATTTAGAGGAAAAAACAACATAATTCCAGTATTTCTTTAATTGTAGTTTATTTAATTTAAGATTTTCTTTTCTCTCTTCTTTCCTATGTAATAATATGTTTATACTAATTGTAGCGTTTCGTTTAGTATTTGGATATATTAATAATAGTATTATTACTATTAGGAAAGTGTTATTAAATTGCTTGACTTACTTTGAGATCTCTCAGGATTATTTGGTCAGTTTTTGTTCTCTCTCTCACTCTCAGTAATTTTTTTTTAAGTTTTAGTTTTTGTACAAATTGTAGTACTCTCGACCTCTGATGTTTTGTGTGAATAAAATGTTGATATTGGTTTAAACTTGCAATACCTTTATTAGAAAACGAAGGTTTTCTATTAGCAAGTTCACTAAATGTTATAAGAATGACTTATAGTTATAACTGGGCACGTGCACTATTGCCCATCATAAGATATCACTTGTAAATCATAGTATTATGATAAATTATGTCAAGTAAATAAAAAAAAATTAAAGACTAAATGAAACTACTTTTGTTGTTATTGAAACGTGTTTATTTGGATTGTATGAGTAGTTTGAGATTAATGCTTATTTTAAATTTTGTTTTATAGTTTAAAAAGGACTGGATTTGGTGGTGAAATTTTAACCATGAGTGGAGGTTTAGCACCAAGTAAAAGCACAGTTTATGTAGGTAATCTGCCTTTCTCCCTCACCAACAACGACCTTCATACACTCTTTGAAAAATATGGAAGGGTTGTTAAGTAAGTCTATCTACTCACGTTTCTGATTGAGTTAAATAAGTTAATGTTAAGTTTATGTTTTAGCATTCCATGAACTCAGCCAAAATCAATTATCTTATAACTGCTACCAGAAGATCTGTCAAAATTATACTACAATAATTACACTCACTAATAAGTAATCTTAATTATAAGTAACATTCAATACTACAAAAGTTTCTATGAAAAAAAGACAACATAAAGCATTTTATGTTATATGTAGTACCATAAAATAGTACATGGGTGGATTAGTAGTACCATAAAATAGTGTGTAGATGTTGTACACGGGTGGATTAGTAGTACCATAAAATAGTGTGTAGATGTTGTACATAGGTGGATTAATAGTACCATAAATAGTGTGTAGATGTTGTACACAGGTGGATTAGTAGTACCATAAAATAGTGTGTAGATGTTGTACACGGGTGGATTAGTAGTACCATAAAATAGTGTGTAGATGTTGTACACGGGTGGATTAGTAGTACCATAAAATAGTGTGTAGTTGTTGTACACGGGTGGATTAGTAGTACCATAAATAGTGTGTAGATGTTGTACACTGGTGGATTAGTAGTACCATAAAATAGTGTGTAGATGTTGTACATGGGTGGATTAGTAGTACTATAAAATATTGTGTAGACACTGTACATGGGTGGATTAGTAGTACCATAAAATAGTGTGTAGATGTTGTACACGGGTGGATTAGTAGTACCATAAATAGTGTGTAGATATTATACACAGGTGGATTAGTAGTACCATAAAATAGTGTGTAGATGTTGTACACGGGTGGATTAGTAGTACCATAAAATAGTGTGTAGATGTACACAGGTGGATTAGTAGTACCATAAAATAGTGTGTAGATGTTGTACACAGGTGGATTAGTAGTTTGTACAGTGTAAGGAGATTGTGTACATAAATTTGGTGTAAGGAGATTGTGTACATAAATTTGGTGTAAGGAGATTGTGTACATAAATATATATGTTTAACAATATGAACATTTAGTCAGTAGATACATTTTCATAAAGTGTCCATCAACTTAAAAAAAATGTATTTAAATATTTAAGTTGGGTCACACTGTGGAATGATAATGTAGAAAAAATAAAATGGGAGCAGAAAACACAGAACTTTGATGATGAGTACCATAAGAGTGTCCTTTGAACTACAGATTTGTATGTATTCTTTACTCAAGGTAAACATCACTGACTAATTAAACCTTATTAAAGTTTTGCACCACTACCTCATCTCCTGTGGATGGATCTTCACCAAATTTGGTATGGAGGTTCATTGGGTTTATGAGTAAATACATACAAATTTTCAGTTTTGCACCGCTACCTCATCTCCTGAATTACAGTGACTATAGAAAACATTTGTCATTAAAATAGTGAAAACAATATGGAAATGTTATCCAAAGAAAATTAACACAAAAAGAAAAATTTCTATGGTCTAAACTTTAACTAAATACCTTAATGTTTAGCCATGCATGTGAAAATTTCAGAGTTTCTAAATCTTCCAAAGAGTAAATCGAGATTATAAATCCATCCCGGGTACAATATACATTACGAAACAAGGCCTCTTGTGACATCAAAGCACGTCAAGAAGGCCTTTTAACATTAAGTACTCAGAAGGACGTTTATCATACTTTATACTCATAGGCTTGGAGATTATTTATCAGGAAACAACACATCAATGATTGTTTCTCACATAAAAGGCCAAACCAGATGAAATTCTGTTTTTTTAATGATATGAAACATCTCTACTGATTAGATAATATGTTCTAGTGAAGTTGTTGTTAAACTTCCTATTACTGGTCAACTACTTGAATTGAGAAATTATCTAGCTCATTAATTGATTGCTAGCCGGAGTACCCGTCCCCTGGACGGAAGTTATGTAAATTCACGATTAATGAAAGATTCTCTAAGGACATGAAAAGTTGCTTCCCATATATGTAATTGTAAAAAATGTCCATAAAAACCACATTCATAAAGCCAATGAACCTCCATACCAAATTTGGTGAAGATCCATCCGAAACGTAATTTTAAGATTGTCCGGTTTTATTCTTTGTAATCAAGTTTATAGTTTCTTGGTTTTACGTGTGTACAATGCGAGTTTACTTTTTTAAGTTATTAATTAATACGCATTTGTTGTCTACTGAAACTAGTAGCTTATTGTGTAGTAATCTCAACCGTGATATATGTAGTTTATGTTTTGTTTTCTAGATAATTTGTTTATCTGTATTTAGGGTCACTATCATGAAAAACAAAGAGACAAGGCAAAGCAAAGGAGTGGCTTTTGTTTTGTTCCTCGACCGAGATTCGGCACATCGATGTGTGAGAGCCCTCAATAACACTCAGTTGTTTGGCAGAACACTCAAATGTAGCATTGCTAAAGATAATGGAAGAACAACAGAGTTCATTCGTAGAAAGGACTACAAGGATAAATCTAGATGTTACGAGTGTGGGGTGAGTTACGAACATAACGTGGGAGTTACAATTTATTTTAAATATCCTCCAGTATATATTTCCACATTAGTAGATCATAAAGACAGTTGGTGTTTCAAAATTGCTTGTATTTCTTTTTATTCCTTAAATTTACCTTTTTTTATACACACTGTATGCAGCTGCTGTCTTTATACGTTGCTCTCTGTAACTCAAAATTATGTTACAATTTAACTGTTCATGGTCACATTATTCCATGACTTGTCAAAAACAAAACTTACATTCAGTACATTTTTTTTTTAATGATTTAATTGTTGAAATATTCATACTGGGAACTAGGGAAAAGAGAAGACTCTTATGATATTCCCATTGGAAATAAGACTGTTGTTGGAAAGAGAAGTAAGATGATGTTGCTGTGGGTTTTAAGAGGTCATTATGTGACCTTATGATGTGACCTTATTAAGTTGTCTTTACTCTGCATCATGAAGTCCAAGTCCTGGAAAGAATGTCCATGTCAAAAATGTTTAAATACGTGTATCTGTTGTTAACTTGTCCCCATGACAGATGTTTGAATAAGTGTATCTGTTGTTAACTTGTCCCCATGACAGATGTTTAAATAAGTGTATCTGTTGTTAACTTGTCCCCATGACAGATGTTTAAATAAGTGTATCTGTTGTTAACTTGTCCCTATGACAGATGTTTAAAACATTGTATGTGTTCTGAACTTTACAGGAATTTGGTCATTTGAGTTACAACTGCACTCATAATATGTTGGGAGACAGGGAACCCCCAAAGAAAAAAGAGAAGAAGAACAAAAGAAAAATTGAAGACGCAGATGAATATGAGGAGTAAGTTTTTTTTTTTGAAATAATGTGGAATTATCTCTTTCAAAATTACAGAATGTCTCTTAGATGTTGTTATCGTGTGGCTAGAATTTGTTGGGAAGTATGTTTATATCTCTCTTATCTCAACGACCTTTGTCTGGCTCCTTTCCTCCACCAGTGGGTTTTTGGTAGGGCATTTGACTCTTCGTAGTTATGAGCTGAGGCTGTGCAACAACATATTTCCCAAGCTCCTTCTCTTCCAGTTGACATCTCTTGTCCTCCAGCTCCTTTCCATTCCCTGCTCTTCAGTCCCAATCCTCTTCTCCCATCTGTTCTTCCATTATATTGAGGTTTCAGTGACTATCTTCTGGGCTTAAGAACAGTGGGAGGCCCATTTGGCTTGTTTTGTATATTTATTGATTGCTTTTGCAGATGTCTGTTGGGGGTTACAGGTTCTATCCATTCTTCGTTTCTCCACTCTTCTTCCTTTGCCTCCTGTTCATGTTTTTCTTTTTCATTGTTCAGGGGATTCTGTATCTTGGCAGCATCTCATTGAAGCAATATCAGACCTTTTATCCAAAGATACTATAAAAAGGGTCTCTCAATCTTCTCCGAGATTTTATTTCTTATTGTCATTCCCCAATACACTGTGGATTGGCATCAAGACATCATTCTGTCTCCTCTCTGTCAGTTTTTCAACTTTTTTCTGTTTACTGTAGTGAGTTTTTTTCTCAAGGACTTTGGATGGCCATGATCAACATCTCTGAAATTGGCCCCATACATTTTTTTTTTGTTGGATAGTGCATACATTTGATCATCACATTCATGGCTTGGGATTGAGATTCCACCATTATATGGACAACTTTGTTTAGCACCATCCCCACAGCACTTCTCTGGTTATACTCATCTCCTCCTTTGGGATGTGGCTCATCAAAGTTGGTTAGTCAAGCTGGGGAAGTCTCATTTCACACCTACCAAGTACCTGGTTCATTTGGGTGTGTTCTTCACTTCATGTGTCAGCAGAGCACAGCCTTCTACACCACAGTTGTGGGACATGGAAGGTTTGGTTTCCACAGCTATGTCCTCATCCTGTACAAGATGTTTTCTGTCTGTTGGGGACTTAGGCTTCTTTGGAACCCCTTATCCTCTGAGGTTATACTCACATATGTTTTTTAGTACGGAATCTACATGTTCATTGGAACCTCTTTTGGGATCCCTTTTCTGGAGTGGTCTCACAATCATCTTGATTTTAATTGGCTTTGCTTTTCACTTCAATACCTTTACCATTTATGACAGTGTTTAGCTTCCCTTATTTTGGTCTTCTCTTATGCATACAGCAGCACTACTGGCTGTGGATGCATTCAATCGGGAATAGTCCAATCTCTTCCTTTGTACTTACCCCAAGCTCTCTCCCTCGCTTGGGACATACCTGGTCAGTCCCTTTTGGTGATATCTTGTTGGCTGATTCGATCAGAGTTTCCTCTGCTGAGCTTTTGGACTTCCTCCCCCCCCCCGCTTCTTTTTCTGGTCTTCAACTCCTTCTTTATCAGACTCATATTTCTCTCTCCTATTCAGCTGTGTCAGCTCTGGCTTCACATGTGGGATTTGTTCAATTCCTTGCTCTTCATGTATAGCCCTTGTGTAGCTTTGTGCAAAATTCAAAAAACAAACAAACAAACATTACTGCTAGTCTCTGTGTT